CATGCTCAGGTAATATAGCTTCATTTACGCGCTACAAATCCCTTGTTTCTATTCCGACGCTGACATTACGCTAGATGCTCGCCCATCAATTAGCAATGCATCAACAACAAGCAAATAGTCAGATGCACCAAGGTAACCAGCCCGGCCATCCTGGACAGATGACTCCACAGCAACTGCAGATCCAGCAAGCCCAACTAGCACAGTCTATGGCAGCACAACAACAAGCTCAGCAGCAAGGCCCTCAGGGGCAAGGACCCCAACCCCAACCTCAACCTCAGGGACAACCACAGCAGCAAGGCCAGCAACCCCAGCCACAACAGCAACCGGGACAGCAGCAGCAACAACAACAACAACCCGGGCCACAACCAAGCCAGCAGCCGCAACCGAGTTCCCAGGGTCCGCAGAGAGCCCCGACGCCGGCTGTTGCGCAACCGAACCAGGCACAGAATCAGGGGCCGACTCCGGTGCAGGGCAATCAGCCGCAACAACCCCAAGGTCAGGGGCAGCCACTAAATGGTCAACAGAACCAGCCTCAAGCGCCTACTGCTCAGCCATTGCAGCCAGGCCAGCACCTGCAGCTCCCAAACAACATCCAGCAGCAATTGTTGCACCAACAACAGCACAAGAATGACGGCTTGAAGGGACATTGCCTATTAAAGCTACTACAGTTTGGCGAACATCTCAGCGGATATCCTGTCAGTACTATTTAAACCTTCCTCTACCCGCTTTAGTTCCTCCCGCCGCGCTTTGACAAGAAGCAGCCGCTAACATATTGCACTCGACAGGGATCGAGAACGAAGGATGACTTAACATACTGGAATAACTTCGTCGCGCAATTTTTCTCGTCAAGAGGCGTTTTTAGACTCTCTCTATTTTATGTCGGCACCGATCCAACGAACGAGGAACATACAGACAAGCAGCACGAGATAACACAGCCCGCTCTAGCGCGATATTTCCATACGCACTTTGAGAGTGGCGTCAGGAGAATTAATTTGACCTTTGAAAAGGGTATTACTGACAGGCCTTTGCCAAATGGCTGTCATTTCATCGAGAACCAGAAGGCGAGTTTGACCTACTGGTTCGACAACTCTCACGTAAGTTGTGCAAATCATGGTGCCAGCTAGGCCTTGAGTGACTTAATTCTGATGGTCGTGTAATCAGGTCGTTGCAACTGGGACTCTTCGCGCCCAATTTGATAGCGAACAAAAATTAGAGCTCTTGGAATTCATCACGCAGGGACACGAAGAGTACCACTCGAGGAAAATGGTGATTGAAGCGGCAAAACCAGCACACAATTGGGTCAAGGATTGGCTTAAGGTAAACGGCCAAGACTCGCGATTGTCTCCGGAGATGAGTAAAAAGGGGAAAGGAAAATCAATGAAGTCGCCTCAAAATCCACCCCCCGATATCGACTTGCCCCAGTCAGCGGTCAAACAAAATATAGGCATAACGGAAGCCGTGTTCCAGTTCCTCGAGGTATGCATTTCTCGCACTGTTCTTATTCCCATATACGGTCTCACTGACTCGGTGTTCCAGATTATTGAAGTTGTTGGGCAAATGAATGTGAGTTAAACCCCTGGGAGGACGATGTGTTCTCTTAACAATTTCCTATATTTGGCCTTAATACTGATCTACAAACACGTTCAGCCGTTGTTCAACTTCTACCATACACATCCGGGCTTATCCCCGTACGCCGCACTTGAACAATATGTCAGTCAAAATATTACCAACGCCCCGCAGCAACCGGTAGTAAATGGTCAACCCCAGGGCAACGGCCCACCGAACCCCCGGACACCCAGCTTCAACCAGTTCCCCATGGGCGCCTCACCAGCAGCCACACATCTGCAACTTCCAAACTCGCCTCACATGGGTAGCCCTGCTCAGGGACACATGCAAGCACCAGGGATGCAGCTGCAACAAAGTCAGCAAGGGACGAGCTCTAGCGGACCCAGCGCCAATACAAGTCCAGCGAGCAATAAACGGAGGAGGCCATCGACCGTCAAGACCGAGGATGATAGTGGTGCGCCGACACCTGCAAGTATAGGAGGGGCTCAGGTCAATGGTGTCACAATGGCTAACAAGAAGCCACCGACGCCTCGATTACAGAAACGTTTGAAGGGCAGCCAAACATGATATCCATACCGTCCTTCAAATGATTGTGCTTGGAGAAGGGAAGAAATAAACCTAGCATACGCGTCGCCTTTGGATACGGCACTCTGTACTGTTGTTCGGCCTCGGCTTGGCTATTTTCTATACACCATTACATCGGCTGGACGTTCAGGAACTTGCATGATTTTGGGGGGTTTGGAAGGCTTGGAGGCATTCAGCGATTTCCACCCACGTTTGACGTTCTGACAGCGCCGGCCTAATTGTTTGATTTCTCCATCTAAACCCCATGTCCTTTCCCAGCGGGAAAGCAAAGAAAATTCGGCGTTGGTCCACGGTTAATCCATTTGCTTTCAGACTTGACGGTGGTTATACGTGGTTGAAGGAATGTTATTAATTCCGGTGATTACGAGCAGGGTTTCCCGGTATTCACCTCGTGTACGATATTTCCAGCTACCACCCTTGCATTACGCTTTATGTACGAGCTGCCGCACTTGTTCTTTTTTTCATTGTTTGGACAAAAATTTATTAGGTGCAAGGACTACTGTAGAAGTAGGAGAGAAGCATTGGTAGAGCAACGCAAGCCGAGGCTTCCTATTCTTGGAGACAGGCAAAAAGATTATTTCGAAGACTGGTCTACCCACTGAAATGAGATGACTTTGATTTGTGGCAAAGTCCTTGATAGCTTAAAAAATCCTACAAGGTAGGAGTGATTCTTGTTACACACAATCGTCACATTTCTCTTTTATTATTGAGAATGAAACTTATAACCACCTACCTACATATGTAGCTACGGAGCTGAGAAGAGGGCGTGTGCGCCCCTTTGAGAGAAAGGGGGGAGTAGTCGGTAAATAGCACCCATTTCCAAAACCTGATTACTACTCGCTCCAGTGATTCTATATCTTTAATGTCTTCTGATCAAATCCCGTAGAATATAGAGACTACCATAAGATGGCTGGTCACGGTGTGAAGGTTACGAGAAATGGAGAGTAGGATTCTCACATCGCCGATATTTGTATCAGATTTAATACGAACGCAGCCGCCATCGGATCTGACGTCCTTGGCTCGAATATCAAGCCAGTTCGTGACATTGCTATAGTTTCTAAGCATCTTTGAAGTCTTGACATTGTAAGATGAGCTGTTTGGAATAAGCAAATACGCGTTATTTTGAGGGGCACCTCCTGAAACGGAGCTGGTCTTTCACTATTTAAATTATCTCCATGAGACTCCGCGCTGAAGTTGGAATTGGAGATACTTCATAAAGAGAGGTACACTGAGCATTGTTCCGGTATTTAATTGCATTCTCATATTATATTATCTCTTTGCGGCCGGCATGGAATAATCCCATGTGCATGTACTTTGATGCCACGTAGATGCGAGCGAGGACGCTAAAGGAGGTAATATCTAAGATGAAAAATTGGAAGATACCTTTCTTCGACGTTGGGACAATAATGATGGATGACTGAAAATATGGCGACGATTGTACAATCCATCGGGGTTGTTTGGACGTATTAGCTCTGAGTAGCGATTTTAGCAGTTCTAGGTCGAGACAAAGCGAGATGAATAACTCCGTATAAGTGCCTAACGACTAATATCCCCTAATGACTATAAGTCCCAGCATTATCTTATTCAACTCGTTAAAATATAGGGAGGGGAAGATAAGTAGTTCGAATAGTAACTATATAAATAATCTATAGGGGAACAGGTATCATTAAGTCCGCAACTATCACCTATGCCATAACTCATCTTACCGGAAGACGTCAGACTTAAAATTTATTTTGTATTTGTTGATAATAGGCCTATAGTTAATCACCACAAAACTTAAACCTACAGCGATGGGAGCTATATGGCGCTATCAGATCAGAGACCCCAAGCTCTGGAGTTGAAATCAGGATCTCAATATTATGGGGCGAATCTACTCGTAATTTCACGATGATTCTGGGTAAAACCTAAAGGTATCTAGAACTACTGGGGGAACAATGAATGTTACGATGGGGCGTATTGTTTGAATTAGAGAGTTCATACGCCCATATGGGTTACCTATAAATTATTACATGGGAATCTTGAGGGTTACTCTTAGCAGACATCACTCATTCTAGCCGAGATCAACGAAGAATTCCAATTCATCATTCCAACCTGGAGAGCTCATGTGGATGAGAATCCCCTTTAGCCTGACTGAACTGTGCGACGTTGAAGTTGGTACACATAATGGGTATCTTGTTCAGGGAGCCATATTCCCTTAGCTGCCTGCATTGATCCCGGGGAAGGTATCAAGACGAACAGACTAGGTTGGGTTGACGCAAAACAATCCTATTTTAGACTCGGGTGGCTATTTTATGTTTTGTTGGGAGAGTATGTGCTGAGCCGCTAAGACATCAATCCTGAGAGTACCTAGTATATAAAACAAGATGTAGGTTATGATCCATCTTATTATATGCTATCGAAACCTGTATACTAATAGCTAGTTATTCGTCTAAGGCAATGAAAACATATTCTAGATTGAAATCGTTGCGTTTACTAGGGATCATAACATATGCTAACAGCAACGCCAGCCATATCATCCATGATGGCCGATCAACTACTGGAGTAGTTTAATCCAAATCATTGTGCAGCAAGTCAGACATGGCCATATAAGATCAATATTTTTGATTTGAGCGGAATTATGAATTAAACTAACATTGTCGTTGCGTTATCAGAGCTTGGAGATTACGCTCTCTGGGAGAGGATTATAGAGAATTCTATGGGAACAAAATAATTCGATATATTAGTGGCTGCTGCCCACTTACATAGGAGGGAAACTTACTAGCACAATAGGTGTAAAACCAATAAGCGAGGGAATATTTCTAAAAAAGATAATCTCTGCGCCGGTCCTTGGACTGGCGAGAGTTGAACGATGATGAGAGTGGGACTCGAACCCACGCGGATTGCTCCACTGCGATATTTTCTGTTCAATTTTCCATTCATCTCGATAGATGGTATACAGGAAATGTATATTCAGGGTTCGCCTGAACGCAGCGCCATAACCACTCGGCCATCTCACCGGTCTTCTAGTAGTTGACGAACGGGCTGCTATGGTGCCCTAAGTCGGTCATACTCATACTAGGGTGATCGGCCTTCTCATCGTTATTTGCTAGATGTGGATAAGACCGAGGTGGATATTGTATCCGCTGCTCATTAGGACCTAGATGCTTGGCAACACTCTTGTTCATGACATTGTCATATAGATATCCGACTTCTACGGGCTCTGCTTATTTAGCGTAGGTTCTTGTTCTTGATGGAGAGTTTAGGGAGTTAGATAGGGAATAAGATATTAGAGAACATCATGAGGCATGTTGCTCTCTGCCTGTATTTTGCCTACTTCTACTTAGATAAGGCTCCCTACACTAGTACACCTCACTTGATGCATATATTTGATCAATGATCGCCTGTGATTTATTACTCCCGATAGCGTAACGATCTGGTCACGAAATGTTGTCCCTGTTACCTGTAACCATGTGCAGTCTATCTCGTATACAGCTAGGATGGAATCCAGAAGACGCAGGGAACCATTTTTGGGACGATAAATGGTCCGTTGATACCTTACTGTGTAGCTACCTTACTCGGCTGTAGGTTTTGGAGCTTATTCGTAGACTGCAAGTCATTTGTATGAGTCCCCTTGCGAGTAGGGGAGAGTAATCAAGAACTCCTACGGAAAGCGTCAAGTACAGGCGAGTTACACTGGGGACCGCACGAGAGCAACTTGGTGGACAGAAGCCACAATGATATTGATGATACGAAGATCAGAGACTAATGTCATCTACACCTGTAGGGCTGTGATGTGACTAGTCGGAAAGACGCAATTCATATCAACCATCTGCCATGACTATGCCTGCCCTATCCATAATTTATCGCCACTAATGATCACATCGTTGTCATCCAGCCCAGAATAAACCATAACGCCGTTGGGGGGAAATTGGGAAATGGCCGAAGCCCTTAGGCAGCCTCGCCGAACGTGTTCTCGCCCGAGTAGGTGATGTAGAGAAATCTAGAAGGGTGGTTAGCTTGCAAAAAGTAGATAGTAAGAAGTAGAAAGTAAACGCACCCGTCCTCATCCTTGTGCTCTTCGTAGATACTGCTCATGAGAGCAGCGGTTGGGGGGAGCACCTCATCGACGAAGATGAAGATGGCCTTCTCGGGAGACAACTTGATGCGTTTCCGGATTACGTAGACGAACTGGCCTACGGTGAGATCTGCGGGTACCAGGTACTTCTTCTTGTCGATAGTAGCGATGTCAGACTTCTCGACCTTCTCGCAGATAACCTATTCATAGCAGAGCTGGTTAGAAAATTGGAGTGACGGAATACAAGAACAAACAAAGCGGTGAGATAGTGGGGAGCGCGACAGATGGGAATAGGAAAAGTAGTAATCGTTGCATTTAAGTCAAGCGGTGGTCTCGCGAGATATGATGAGGATTGAAAGAGACGGAAAGGGAGAAGGGGGAGAGATAGATAGGTAGATGAAATAAGGAGATAAATTACATACTGGAATGCGGTCGGCATATTTCTGACGAATGCGCTCGGCTTCGGCCTTGCGCTTCTCGAAGGGGTGCTCGTCCTTGAACTTGGATCGCATCTTGATAAATGTCTTGTGGTTGCTGTTGTTGTTGGGTTTTTTGACGATGCGAAGAGGTGTTGCGAGGTTGTCGAAAGAAATAGACGGCCGGGTTGAATAGGGAAGTCGGGAAGATGAGCAATTCGGGTTGATGACGATGGAAAGGTGTTGTGGTTTAGGTTCAAGGCAACGGCTGGTTTGCGTGGGGGGGTGGAGGAGGAGAGGAGGAGTAATAGTAGTAGTACCAGCAGGAACAAATTTAAGGCAACCTTTTGGGTGCAGGTGATATGGCTTTGATGACCAAAAACATGTAACTTAAAGCACTCCTCAAATGACTGCCCAGGTGGCTGAGCCACTTGATTACCCAGGTACAGTTACCGATAAGCTTAGCAAGCCTTGGGTACCTACGCTTCTAAGTTACATGTATGTATAAGTTTGTTAGGTACATGCTGTATAGTGAGGAATGTGCCCACTGTATTGAATTCGATAGCCAACCTTGAAGTTTGGTGGCTGGTGGTGGAAAGATTTCCTTGGGGGAGGAGACCGCCTACTGCCTAGGTGCTGCCCTACTATGCATCCATGGATATTGGCGGGGCGGGACAAGGCGGGGGGGCTATCTGCAGGGATCTAGTGACCGGTGACAGGGTGACTGAACTTGAGGGAACGTGACCGAGCCGAAAGTAGATTAGTGCCATCCTCTTTAAGGAACAACGCAAATCTCGTAGAGTGTGCATATGGTCAAAGCTTCCAAGGTTCTCAACTTGTATTAATAAGCTAACAATTAGTTCTACATGCATTCCGAATGTGCATGTACCTAGTTATCTTATCATCCCTTCTATTTCGTCACGGAATACCGTCACTTGATCCATCATGGAAGAATAGAGCAAAGTCGATTTCTGAGACGCCTCTCATAAGCTCTCTGACAAAGCGTATTGGAATGACGTCGAATGAAAGGGAAACGATTTATCCATTATTCGCGATCGGTCTTGATTGTCTAACCTGTATCTGTAGTGACGATTTTGATCTAGATGTTGTTGCAGGTGCTGTTGGCGGGTATAAAGGCGTATAGGTATGTATGTAGTGTTTGTTCTGTATACTGTATTATGTCTTCTGCGTACATACCTGACCTGCCCCAGGCTTAGAAAATATGTTCCTAGGGCCATCTATCCTCAAGTGCTCTCTAGCTGTTGCATGTACGGAATGAATTTTGGGCTCCTGTTATTATACATATTATACCAAAGGCCATCCAACCATCTTGGAAATCATTGAATATCATGAAAATGCCAAAGGTAGTTGAGTGTATATGATACTGGGGATTATCATAGTCGTTATTAGGTACACCTGAGCTCTTTCTCACAAGGATCATTCTTGGAACATAACCTAAGCACGAGAATCTGCAACGCTTACTTATTCCCCGAAGGGAATGTCTTATTTATTGCTACATGATCTGGCTTTTTAATACACTACGGAACAATGCCATGCTGCTGCTGCTTTACTGCTTCTTAGCGAATTACGTCACCCTCTTTGTCGATACCCTCTCCCATCTCCAAGATGTCGCTCCCAGCTAGGACACCACTACTAAGGGTAGTAGCTTTGCGACCTGCCACCCAGACTTCATGGAACTTGACGCTCTCGTCGCTACTTGCCACGATTATACAGCCCTCCTCGGCGGTACGGCTCTTCAATCTTTCTTTCGTGCGGTACGTATCACTCGGGCCGCTAGGATATGCTATGGCATATAACGCGCGATGTTCGCCCTCCTACGGCACGGCCGCTACTTGCCGACAATCGGGCCAACTGAACACGGCGATGCGGTACGGATGATCGGGCTGAGCATACCCAAATGTCGCAGCGATCTCCCGCCGAGTCGTGCTCCATATTAGAGATGTCACCTGCGCCGCAACCGAGATAGTAGCTAGCGCCGCCCCCGAATTTGTATGATAGAAATGAATACATTTGTCGTTGGATCCCCCGCCGGTAGCAACCAACCCCTGACGCCACGGACAGAATGCGATGGCTTTCACAGCCGCCCCGTGACGCCATCGATGTTTCTCGGAACTAGCTGGTAAACATTTCATGTCGGATGGTGGGTTGGGACACTCAAACGCCAACCTTGGCGATGAAGACGAGAGCGCAGCTCCTTGGCTTTCGATGGATGGGGCATCGAGACCTCTTCCGCTCTTTGGTGAACTGCTTGTTAGTGGCGTTTCTGGGCTTCGTTTTGGGCGTGGCTCCTGGTCCGTAACGCTGTTGACGTTGAAGAGACAGCACAAATTGTCGTTTCCGCCAGTGGCAAACTGCTCACCATCGGGAGACCACGCCAGACCGCATATCTGCTGAGAATGGACCTTGATGCGAGCGAGTAAAGTCATAGCCCCGCGCCAATTTTCCCGAGCCACTTCCTAGGGCTCGGGCCACTCAACCGAGTAGTAGTAGATATCGCCTATATCATCTCCTACGAGAAGGTCTTCCGTATTGACTAGGACGCCCGGGTTACGCCTGTTGCGAGAGGGTCGGGGAATGGCAGTTGGGCGCCAAGAGAGGCAGGCTATCGGTTCAGGGTGATATACTTCGAAGCGGGGAAGTAGACTGTCAAAGAGCGAAACCAAGGAGAGCAGGCCGCTCGAACGACCAAAGGCTAGGATTGATTTGCCACCCTGGTCGGACGAGAATGCCACCGAAGTTAGCCACGATCCATCCTTGAGTCCCGTATTTAGGAGCGTAACACCCGAGGATTCTGACCACCCGTAAAGGAGGTTGCCCAATCCTACAGCCAGAGTGTTACACGTTCGAGAATAAGCCATTATAGAACAGTAGAAGTCGTCCCGAAGGCCTGGGGCGTCTAAAACCCTGGAGATTGTTAATGTGGGAACTGGTCGGCTGGTTATCTGAATGATATACGAACTTGAATGGGGCATTAGGAAGACATCGTTCTCCCCTCTGAACTCCTGCAGATGTATCAGCCTCGTTCAACAGCTAGCAGGTAAGAACGGCAGTTTACTTGGCACATGGTAATCGTTACTCCATTCGCTTCCTGTCCATATTGTCTTAGCTTCTCTCAGCGATGGTCTGACTTTGTGCTTGCAACGTGGAAAGGTGGAATATCCGTTAAAATCTAGTATCCGCTGGACTCGATCTATCTTTAAAGCTAGGGCCAGTCGGCCTTCATGCTTATCCTGGTCCTCTTCGGATTTGGGACGCGTGTTCGAAAAAGAGGTGGCGTAGAGGCGGGCGTTTGTCCCCGAGCTCACACGCCGGCCGTGCCCATCCTCGACTCCTCCGGGGGCTAGGCCGCCCACAGACCAGACAGCGCCGTTGCTGACCTGCCGTTGTTCTAGGCTATGTAGTCCTAGAACGGTGCCAACACGCCGCTGGTTGCTATCAGATCGAGATGCCCATCTGGAGGAAACGGGCGTGGGACGTTTTGGAGTGAAGCAGAAAACGTCGGATG